ATTTTTGTAAGTATGGAATGAGGTTGATATCATAGTTAATTACTTGACCTCGACACCATTTTCATACAAGTGAGTAAATGAAATTGCCTGATTTCCACTTTTCCTTAGTGCACGTCTCAGCCTGTGACACTGCCATCGATGTTTGCTCCGATGAAAACGGGGGTTAATTTAAATGCAAAGTAATTAATTAGACACTTGGCTGGCAAATCAAGTAATCCAATCTAGAGTAAAGGACACGGAGGAGGGCTAATCAAGGGCACAGTCCAGTGCAGTCCTCAGAAGGCAGACCCGCAAAGTGACCGGCGGGCTAACTAAATGTGCTATAATATCCGAGTATAGTGTGTGCCATATATCAAGCGCTGCTCGGGACGCCGTGTGTGCTTATCCACTCAGTGCCCAGACAATGGCAATTTCAATGATTTTGTTTAGCTCAGTGATTCGGAGAATTGAGTTCGGCTGCTAGCTGTCCACATTCGTATGTACGTATTATCCATATGCTACGTGCCGCAGGCAAATTGAGAACGCACAAACCCACCAACGCACACGATTCGAATGCCTTTCAATGAATTGCTGCCAATTTGCAATGGTTAATGAAACGCTTTGTGCCGTGTCGATTGCATTGCGCAGGGGGTGGGCCAAAGCAGAGGGCGGACCTCGAACTAACTAATCCAGCAAGTACTATACTATATAGTGACCGATTCCCTGCAGCTCATCTCCGGCCAAAACTGCTGCACTCTAATCCGCACCCCCCGCCGGTCCGCATCACTTTCCTTGTTTTCTTTGACATTCGAGTTACATTTTGGCCAAGTTCCATCGATTTCTGTGGCTCAGCAATGTCGTTCTCTGGCATTCTGCACAGCGAGAAAAGGATCCCTTTCTTAAAGGGATAATCTACGAAACAGCATAAGTTCCGCTGCTAAACTTCAAGGGAAGGGAGGATTAAAAAGTGTTCTATATCCCCTATTATTTTGTAGTCATTTTTAAACTTTTGATAAGTTTTCTTTTGGTACTTTCAAAATCTAGGTCACAATAAAACTTGTTCAGCCACATAATATTATGTAAATACTTCACTTTACTTTGCAAATTATAGCTCAGTCAAGTAATTGGTATTGAACATATTGCCATTTCATTTAATCGTTAGAATTCAAGTCTCTATAAGAAATAAGTTATTGTAGATATTATAGCCAATACTAAGGTTGAGTTATGTAATAACTGGAGTCTTTAACAGAAATCAGAGCTTGGGCCAATATAAATAAATTTTTAAGTGAGACCATCTATCTTCCGAGTTTTTCAATGGACTTTTGGCTCAACCTACTTTTACTATAAATAAATACTCTAATAAAACAGTAACTAAAATATAATCAAAAACCTATTTACCATATGGGATTGTAGATCACATCCTTAACAACAAAAATTGCAGTAGAGCAAAACCCTTTTTCCCAAGTGTGCTTCTGGTCATTTCAATTTTGTAATTGAGATTAGCTTTTTGGGAATAATGGAGATCAGATCATTTAATTAACTTTGTTTTCGAGCACGTTCTTCCCACTGCGGATGTCAAGGGCTGTCTGGGTGGGCGTGGTCCTTATATGTATATATAGTATATGTCCTCTGCTCGTGTGGGTTTTGTCCAAAATACCGATTGAACTAACAAGTTCTCAAACGCAATAATTTTGCGATTGCCGACCAGCGTTAGTAGGCTCGTCGAATGCCCTTAGTTGTCTGTTAATTTGCCGAGCAGCAATTCCATTTGTTAATTCCGGCCCGGCATCTTTTGCTCAATTTGGCAAACAGATAAACGGGCATCGGCTATCGGAGCCTGCGAGTCCATGTGTCTCGATTTCATTTCCGAAATTGAATTGCCAAAAATGTGGCATCAGTTTCCGCACTCAGGGCCTGGGTCTTCAGTTGTCAGAGCTCGTCTCTCGGATCCCAGTTCCAATTATAATTATGCCATTCTCAGTTGGTCTGAAGACTTCGTCTCCGTTGGCCGCTCGATGCGTTTTTGGGTCTATGCATTTCATTTGCACTGACTGAGCCGAACAGAACCCAGACTTTTTCTGACTATCTTCGTCATCGTCTGGCGGCTGCTGTTTTATTTTCACTTTTCCTTCTCGCATGGCTTAGAACGAGCCAAATTGCATTCAGCTGTTTGTTTTTATGCGCTGTCACGAGAATTCCAAACTTCTTTTGAATAATTTCATTTATTTATGTTCCCCATTGCTTGGCGCAAAAGTTTCGCTGCAGTTGCTCCGATTCTCCGCTCCTGCTGTCTTCAGTCAGTCAGTTAGTCGCTTATTTATTTAGTTTTCTTTCTTTTCCCTAAACTGCTAAAAAAGGCGCAAAACTTGTCGCTGAGTGTCAGAAGTTCTGACTTGCGCTTTAAGAGGCCTGCTCCTCCTTTTCCGCCGCCAATTGATGCCCTATTGTGCTCTCCTGAATTTATTTTAATTAGGTTTTAGCTTAAAATGGTGTGTCAGGGGATAAATTTCTGAAATAATAACTTCTGCTTAGGAGCTTCAGACTTATCTATCATTGTTATCTATTTAATTATATTGATAAACGAAATTTGTTTGATTTATTTTACTCTTGCCATGTAGCAAGAATAAACAAGAGAGAACGCTATAGTCGGGTGCCCCGACTATCAGATACCCGTTACTCAGGTAAAGGGAGTGCGAGGGAGATGGAGATAGAAACTTTGATCACGCATAACTTTTTAACGAATGGTCCGATTTGAAAAATTTCTTCTACATTTCGATAGGTATTGATAAACACAATAAAACTGCATTTTTACTTTTCCGAAATATTTAAATTTTTAAAATCGTATATAAGCGATTGTGGGCGTTAAAGGGGGCGTGGCACCTTTTTGAAACAAACTTGCGCTGCGTAGGAACTCCTAAAATCTACATGCAAAATGCCAATCTTCTAGCTTTTATAGTTTCCGAGATCTCAGTTCATACGGACAGACAGACAGACGGACAGACAGACGGACAGACGGACAGACGGACAGACGGACATGGCTAGATCGACTCGGCTAGTGATCCTGAACAAGAATATATATACTTTATAGGGTCGGAAACGCTTCCTTCTAGCTGTTACATACTTTTGCACGAATACAATATACCCTTTTACTCTACGAGTAACGGGTATAAAAAGAGTGGTACAATTAAATTTTATTTATTCAAAGAACTATTGAATAAATAATTTTGTTTTTAGGTAATCAAAAGTCTCATGTAAGGAATATTTTTATCCCCAAAAAATACGGCCTCAGCAGATACAAATGCAGCTAAAACTTTTGATGATATTAAAAGAATTAATTAATTAATAGCCAGGAATATGTGATGAATGCGAGTTGCAGACACAGGGTAATCCAATACATATGAAAATGCTAATGCCTGAATGGTGCTGCAAAGTCTCTTTTGGCTCTTTGATTTCTTACTGGCAGCCTCCAGCCAGTTTTAGACTCTGCTGAATGCTGTTGGCAGGTGACAGCTTAACTGCAGCAAAGTGAGCTTGGCAGACTTCATGTAATGCAATTACGCATACGCCGCGTGCACCCCGCCCAGTGTGACTGGCATGTGCGGCTAATTAGGTCCAAAATGCTCCACGCCATTTTGTTGTCAAAACCTGCCTGCTGGAGAATAGATAGGTGGCAAGTACTACGTGTCCAGATTTTTGACATCCAGCCAGTTCGGTGTTCCTAATTGTCACAGCTCATTAATTCACAATGCGTTATTACATTACGAAATGCGAAGATGAACTTTTTGGCAAATTTTTGGCTTCTGAAAAACGGGAAAAGGTGAGAGTAATTAAAAGATAAAATAGCTCCTCGGAATTGGGTTACTGTTTTATCGCAATTATTTAGTTTAACTACAGCTAACCAGCTTGTATAAATAAATATATTATAAATCTATGAAACTACGTCAAATCGGAAATCATTTTTTGATGTCAGCATCGTGGCAAGCTTCTAACTGAAATCAAAATACACTCTGCAAGAGCTTAAAATGTTTATGTTTATGTTTAATGAGGTGCCTAAATATTTTATTTGATTTGAGCTTTTGGGATATTTTTAATGATTTCAGAATGAAGTTTTTTTATAGAATATTTAGTTTGCAATACTAAAAATTCAATTTTAGGATGCCCTTTTTATGTACGAAGAGCTTCAAAAAGATATACAAATTTAGAAATGTTCCCCTTATGTGAATCCGTATGTTCTTCATCAATTAATGAATATGCTACTATCGGCGGTTCTTAAATGTGTAATATTATACTTTTCCCAAACAAACAAAATTACGCTACTTTGTAACAACTGCCTCTAAATGCATTTACGCCTGCTTCTCTACCCAAGTTTTAAGCATTTTATAGCTAAGCTATGGGCGGCTTTTGGAAGGTTGGAGGTCTGGAGTGCTGGAGTGCTGCCTGCTTATAGGCTGCGCTTTTCGAGCCACCAGGGCTACGTCCTCCTCCATTTCTGGGTGGCTCGGTTCCAGCCAACTTGTCACTGGAGCAGAAGTTTCTGAATGCATTCTCTGCGCCAACTTCTTGGTGCGAAAAGTTGGCGCAAAATACTTTGCTCGAATATTGTTTTCGCATGCCTTTGTTGCGCTAAGCAGCCCGTAAGAAGTCGCTTTTCCCCGACTTTCCCTGCGACTCGGTCCAGATCCATCCAGACAACGTAAATTGTGCTGTCTTTTTAAGAGTTTTTATTTTGTTAGGTTTCTGTTGTGCCTTTTTTGGTTCGCTGTTTTGTTTTATTTGGTTTTATTCGGTTTTCTTCTTGCATTTTTGCCATGTATTGGCATTTCAGCGCTTATTTGTATCGTTTTCGTTCACTTTGTTGTTACTTTTGCTATGGCTTTTCTTTCTTTTGTATTTGTTTTGTGTGGTTGCTGTTTTCAATTTTGTTGCAAGCGCAACGCATTTTTGTTGTTTTCCTCTTTTCAGATTGTTGCTGCTGCAGTTTTTTGGCAATTTCCTTAAAACGCAAAAGCTGAAAAGTTGGCTGATGTTCGTATAAGCTTTATTTTCTCCCATCATTTCTGTGTGAAAATATCTATTCAGGTTTTTTTTTGAGTAACAATTCAACCGACTTTGTAGCACTGGCATTGGCATTCGGCATGCATTTGAAAACTATGCAAATCTTTCATTAAACTCCGACTTCGATCCGAAAACTGATTGCCAAAGTTGAGCCGCTAGTAGCGCCATTCGGGCGGACTGAAAACGCTCTGGGAACGGATTGGTGTGAATAGGGGTCGAAATTATCACCGCAGGCCAACTCACTTGGGCCCGCTTCAGGATCGAGTCCTTGGAGGCATCGTAGGGCTGCTGCTTCGAGGGAATCTCCAGCACAGTGGGCACAGCCCGGCTGTGGGCATCGACAGTGGGACGAATCATGTCCGCGTACACCTGATTGATTAGGATAATGGCGACGTCAGGTCGCTTCAGGAACTTCTTGAAACAAGCCTTAATCTGGTCGGGAGAGGTGTCTAGGGGAAATGAATGATGAGAGCAATTTTTCTATACTCATTTTAACTAGTAAACAATTTAACTCAAGACCTGCTGGCTCGGGTGTTGACCTAATGACTACCAGCAATGCTATTCTTAAATTTCTCGCATATCCTTTGGCTCAATTTATATATTTATACCCGTTACTCGTAGAGTAAAAGGGTATATTGTATTCGTGCAAAAGTATGTAACAGCTAGAAGGAAGCGTTTTCGACCCTATAAAGTATATATATTCTTGATCAGGGTCACTAGCCGAGTCGATATAGCCATGTCCGTCTGTCCGTCTGTCCGTCTGTCTGTCCGTCCGTATGAACGCTGAGATCTCGGAAACTATAAAAGTTATAAGATTGGCATTTTGCATGTAGATTTTAGGAATTCCTACGCAGCGCAAGTTTGTTTCAAACTGGTGCCACGCCCCCTTTAACGCCCACAATCGCTTATATACGATTTTAAAAATTTAAATATTTCGGAAAAGTAAAAATGCAGTTTTATTGTGTTTATCAATACCTATCGAAATGTAGAAGAAATTTTTCAAATCGGACCATTCGTTAAAAAGTTATGCGTGATCAAAGTTTCTATCTCCATCTCCCTCGCACTCCCTTTACCTGAGTAACGGGTATCTGATAGTCGGGGCACCCGACTATAGCGTTCTCTCTTGTTTTTCTATAGTTTATATTTATTATGTGCTGGTGACATAATTAATTTTTCTGTTTATTTTTTCTGATTTGTTTAAGTTTGTTACCACTTCGCTATTATTAAGAAAAAAAACTTTAATAAAACAATTAAAAACAAGAAAGGAAAGCTAACTTCGGGCGGAGCCGAAGTTGATATACCCTTGCAGAATACTCTGTAAATTATATTTTCCAAAATTATTCGTATGATGCATTCTTAATACTCATAAAAAATCCAAACTTCGTAACTTTAAAAACACCAAAGTTATGGCATTTCCAATCGTTCAGTTATATGGCAGCTATAGGATATAGTCGGTCGATCCTTATGAAGTTTGGTAGGTCGGATTGATTGGCCAAAAATAAAACCCATAGAAAATCCCAACTTCCTAACTTTACAAACACCAAAGTTATGACATTTCCGATCAATCAGTTATATGGCAGCTATAGGATATATTCGGCCGATCCTTATACAATTTGGTACGTCAAATTGATTGGCCAAATACAAAACCCATAGAAAATCCTAACTTCCTAACTTTACAAACACCAAAGTTATGGCATTTCCGATCGTTCAGTTATATGGCAGCTATAGGATATAGTCGGCCGATCCCGGCCGTTCCGACTTATATACTGCGTGCAAAAGAAAGAAGGGTGTGTGCAAAGTTTCAATTCGATATCTTTAAAACTGAGAGACTAGTTCGCGTAGAAACAGACAGACGGACAGACAGACGGACAGACGGACAGACGGACAGACGGACAGACGGACATGCTTATATCAACTCAGGAGGTGATCCTGATCAAGAATATATATACTTTATATGGTCGGAGATGTCTCCTTCACTGCGTTGCACACTTTTGACCAAAATTATAATACCCTCTGCAAGGGTATAATAAGTAAGGGCTACTTTTGATGTAGTTTAAAAAGATTTACATTATTCCGCATACAAATATTGTGAATGATTATACCCGTTACTTAAGAAATTTTTCAAATCGGACCATTCGTTAAAAAGTTATGCGTGATCAAAGTTTCTATCTCCATCTCCCTCGCACTCCCTTTACCTGAGTAACGGGTATCTGATAGTCGGGGCACCCGACTATAGCGTTCTCTCTTGTTATACCCTTGCAGAGGGTATTATAATTTCAGTCAAAAGTTTGCAACGCAGTGAAGGAGACATTTCCGACCCTATAAAGTATATATATTCTTGATCAGGATCACCTCCTGAGTTGATATAGCCATGTCCGTCTGTCCGTCTGTCCGTCCGTCCGTCCGTTTCTACGCAAACTAGTCCCTCAGTTTTAAAGCTATCTGCTTAAAACTTTCCCAAAAGTTGTCTTTTTATTGCAGGTAGTATATAAGTCGGAACGAGCCGGATCGGGCAACTATATCATATAGCTGCCATATAACTGAACGATCGGAAAAGCCATAACTTTGGTGTTTTTAAAATTAGGAAGAAGGGATTTTCTATGAGCTTTATTTTTGGCCAATTAATCCGACCTAGCGAATTTCATAAGGATCGGACGACTATATCCTATAGCCGCCATATAACTGATTGATCGGAAGTGCCATAACTTTGGTGTTTGTAACGTTAGGAAGTTAGGATTTTCTATGGGTTTTATTTTTGGCCAATCAATCCGACCTACCAAATTTCATAAGGATCGGCCGACTATATCTTATAGCTGCCATATAACTGAACGATTGGAAATGACATAACTTTGGTGTTTTTAAAGTTAGGAAGTTGGGACTTTTTATGAGTATTAAGAATGCATCATATGAATAATTTGGGAGAATATAATTTATAGAATATTCTGCAAGGGTATATCAACTTCGGCTCCGCCCGAAGTTAGCTTTCCTTTCTTGTTTTTCTATAGTTTATATTTATTATGTGCTGGTGACATAATTAATTTTTCTGTTTATTTTTTCTGATTTGTTTAAGTTTGTTACCACTTCGCTATTATTAAGAAAAAAAACTTTAATAAAACAATTAAAAATAAGTAAGGGCTACTTTTGATGTAGTTTAAAAAGATTTACATTATTCCGCATACAAATATTGTGAATGATTATACCCGTTACTCGTAGAGTAAAAGGGTATATTGTATTCGTGCAAAAGTATGTAACAGGTAGAAGGAAGCGTTTCCGACCCTATAAAGTATATATATTCTTGCTCAGGATCACTAGCCGAGTCGATCTAGCCATGTCCGTCTGTCCGTCTGTCTGTCCGTCTGTCTGTCCGTATGAACGCTGAGATCTCGGAAACTATAAAAGCTAGAAGATTGGCATTTTGCATACAGATTCCTGGAGTTCCTACGCAGCGCAAGTTTGTTTCAAAAAGGTGCCACGCCCCCTTTAACGCCCACAATCGCTTATATACGATTTTAAAAATTTAAATATTTCGGAAAAGTAAAAATGCAGTTTTATTGTGTTTATCAATACCTACCGAATTGTAGAAGAAATTTTTCAAATCGGACCATTCGTTAAAGAGTTATGCGTGATCAAAGTTTCCATCTCCATCTCCCTCGCACTCCCTTTACCTGAGTAACGGGTATCTGATAGTTGGGGCACCCGACTATAGCGTTCTCTCTTGTTTTTAAATGGATCTGTCTCAGCGAAGCATGCTTAAAAATGTTCCAAATAAGTTGAACCAATTGAGTGTGCAATTATTATATTTATCGCATAGACTGATACAATTGTGCTGACCCAACGTTTTTATAAATTTTTGTTTTTTTGATTGCTGGTAATTTAACTTACCCTTTTCCACGACCATAAAATTGGCCTCACGATCTTCGTCGACTTCTCCAATGCCACCGAGCAGAAAGCCGACACATGTGTCCTTCAAGAAAGTGTGGGGAGGCATTTAAATTGACAATATTATTAAAAAGCACCCACCTCATCGCCAATAACGGCTAAAAGACTTCCAAGTTCTTCCGACTCCAACGACATATTTACTAGACCTGTGATTGTATTGACTCGAAAGCAACATGAAAGCAAACGCCTGGGCCAACTGATGTTAAATGCTCATAGTTGAAAGATAAATACATTTGTCAATGGATTTGCAATAAGAAGATTACCGTACTTAATACAAATAAATAAATCGCATTCATTTCTGCCGTCACTCGATGTATGAATAAAATATAAGTGCATCTTCCGCCGATGACAAAACAATTGTTTGAGTGAAATGGATGTGGAAAAATGAGAGCAGGAACTGAAAAAGGGGGAAAACTGCACTTGACAGCCACGCCGCATTTGATGGCAAAACGCTGGCTGCACTTCGCTGTTTGTAGTGCTGTCAAGCGTAAAACAAGTTTTATAATTGTTTAAAATGTTTGCTTTGCCGCTGTCCATGGCAGTGCAATTTTATAACGAATTTTTGTCAGTTGCTGCTCAAAACTAAATCGAAAACAATGGCCGGCAGCCGGCGAATTGTGTGTCAAGCCCCGTTGTGTCCCGTCCACTCCCTTCAGCTCAGCTATTTACGTAATTCCGACGGCTCCTAATTGGATTAGATAACTTCCCGAAGGGCTGAGCCAACGCAACTGAAAGATACGCATAAACCTCCGCCCACGAACTTGACGCACAGATCACCTTTGTGCACATTGTCTCCTCTTGAAGCGAATCGCTTCAGATCTCTGGACAAAATCCCAGCCAGCCGGTTATGTGCACCAAGTTGACTCGTTGGCGTTACGTGGTTGCATGGTGACGGCATTCCCTAAACCTAAATGCGGCTAATTGCCGAGCACGACTTTCGACAGACCAGCTGCTGCCACTTGAACCCAACACGACACTCAACTTCAGTTAACATTTTTCAAATCAGCTCTAATTGTTTACAGTTTACAGTTTACATATCAATGACCATTGTTGTTGTTGCCGGCGTGTGGCATAACTAATTATGATTAATGCTTCAAAGCCAGCCCCTGACATTTGCCATTAATTGACAGTTGGAGCAGCAGCACAGGCACGTGCACTGGGAAAAACAGATGCAATTTTAGTATTTATAAAAAAACCGCTTATAACCGAAATTTTGAATTTATATTTGATATATTATGTTAATTAGGGCTGCCTTAATAATATTTCAGAAGTATAAACGAAAATCATTGTATGGGTTTTTTCCATTTTGTAATAGAACAAAAGAAAACATTTTCACCAACTGTCTAAAAAATCTTAACGGTAAGCTATTATTTTTGATTGAATATTAAGATATGGGTGTTCGAAAACTTATTGATTTAAAAATCATATGAAACTATCAGCAAATTGGTAATAAAATATTTTACGACATAAGCTCGGTGTTTAGTTTTTCAGAGGTAATCAGACTGAACACGTTTTTTGTTTAGTAATTCAAAGAATATTATAATTTTATTTTACTTAATTATTAATGTTGGACATTTTTTTTTAATAAAACATGTAAACAAATGATTACGATTTGTATGATCGTATCGATTTGTATAGATCTTATAATTTTTTTAGTAAATTAAAATTAAAATAATTCTTAATACCTAGTAAAAATATTTTTTAAACATCTTTCTAAGATTGGATGTTGTTTAAAATTTATTATTTATTATACTATGCTATGTTTATCTGCTAATCCGTTTCGTTTCATAGCCATTTAGTTGGTTGCTTAATGCATAGACAAGTCAATAAAAGTTTTAAGTTTTATAATTATCAAATATCTGCAATAAATCATCGAATAGATCATCAGAAAATGATGAAATCTTTTTCGGTGCATGCAAGCTTCCCCGAAGTGCATTGAACTTTGGCTGAGTGAAAAAACTGTCATTGCACACACAAACCGACAATGAAATTGCAGTCGTACTCTCCACCGCAAACCCATATGAACTGGAACTGAAAACTGAAAACTCAAAGCTCCAAGCCGAAACCCAATCGAAATCGCATCCCAGCCAAGCCATCGATGCTTTGGCCCGCTGACCTTTTTCCACACATTGCGATTGCTAATGGCGGAGCCATCGAAATCTAGCGAGTTGGCCAGCCCCAAACTCACAACCGGCAATTCATGCTACCGGTTTTAGTTTATTGACTACTGGCAACATCAGACATAGCAGCAACAACAGTTGCAGCTACGCCAGCAACATCATCAGCAGCAACAGCAACAGCAACAACGGGAACGGGAACGGCAACAATGTGTCAAATGACTTTTGCTGGCCTGGCTTCTTAAATATGGTCATGGCGGCATTTAGTTTACTGCGGCTGAAATTTTCACTTATGCCCGGCACGTTTTGCCTATTTTCTCGATTTGGTTGCTTATTTTTTAATTTTGATTCGACTGCGAGGTTCTGGGCTTCCCTTTTCGACAGGTTCCCATTTTCTCTTTTTGCCTAGATTGTGTGACACGCATGAGTTTAGCTAGAATTCGATCTCCAAAAATGTTCTTGGAAAAAATACAAATCAAGCATGAATCACAAACAGTAAATTAAGTAGCCTTTGAACATTTTAAGATTCTACAAAAAAATGCTAGTTTAAATATTAAAGCGTTCGTTTATTTAAAAATATAAAGTTGTTATTAATATTATATGCACAGCAATCTTCTTACAGTGGATTCCAAACAAACTTTGATTATATTCAAATTGTTTAAAAATTGTATTTAAGATTAGATTTATGTTATGATATGCTTTCTAGAAATAATTGTCCATGAAATGTACCATCCAGAAATTATTATACAGTAGTTCACATTGCTAAGCCTGTTGTTATAATTAAATGCATGCTTTTGCACCTGAAAAGACTTCCAAAAGAGTACCTCACCTGAAATGCAGATGCCCAATTTTGAGATTCTTCAGTGAATGCGTGGACTTGACAGCCTACTCATTCATTCAGCAGCTGTCAGTTGGATCGTCGGCTCCTCGGATTGTGCAACATCAGAAGGGTATAGCCCCAGCCAATTCTATCTGCCCCGCTGTTGCCTCTCACGATTGACTCGAGATTTCGCCTTCTGGCCGGGCTTTGGGTTTGCCGGCTCGTTTCTGCCTTTCGCCCTTCCATTTTGGCTGGGCCTGAACTTTTGGAAGGCATTTGGAAGCATGGCTAAGTGCAAGCACGCCTCTTATTTATTTAGTGCTTAAAATACCATAACATTTGCGGGATTATATAATCGAACCTGTCGCCGCCGCTGCTCCGCATGCACATCACGCAAATCAAGTCAAACCGAAAAAAAATTCGCAATACGCTTTCTTCTGAGCTGAAATGAATCGAAACAAAATGAAATGAACCTTTCAGAGCGCGTATCGCAGTGCTGCTGCTACTGCTGCGCTGTTTGTGATGTTTTCAGCCGCTGCCGCTGATTATTCAACAATTTTTATTGAAAGGTAAACAGGCGCTCACAAGAGTAAGAGCTGTAATCACAAGAAAGCCATGTGCGAAATGTCAAATGCAGGCGAACCGAGAGGTAGTACATGACATCGACATTAACGTCACGGCGCCAACATCGGCCGATTTATCCCACTGCCATTCACTTGCCAGCACAACACACTTCACATATGCACTCTCTTTGCGCGACTACCAATCAGTTGGGTTGGAAAATAAAATTAGCATAATTACAATATAATAAACAAAGGCAAAGGCCCTGTTCAGCAGCGCAAACCGCAAATGATCGCTGGCCAGGCCAGCCAGAACTACAGAATTACAGAATGGCAGGATGGCAGCAGGAAGCGCCGCTTTTGGCCTCCCACTCCACTCCTAATTGGCAAAGGCCCTCCAGCCATGGCCCCAAACCGCATGCCATAGTGCCTACACGGAAAGATATGGATAAAAATAATTTCAAACAATTAAATTAAATTTTTTTGTTACAATAAACAAATTTAATAACGTTTTATATTAAATAACAGGATGGTTCGAACTCCAGAGAGCCCAATCCATATATTTACATATTTACATCTGCTTAAACCTACCTAAAAATCCTTAAAATTCCTTACAATGAAAATATAATTAAAATAATTAAATTTCTGAAAGAAATAAATATATACAACCTAATTTAAAACCCAAAAACTTATATAATAAGTAATTCTAACTATATTTAAACTATGCCCTTCCATGCCTTTTTATGTTAGCTTGAGTTTTATAAACTATTTTACATTTATAATAAATTTATAAATAAACCTACCTATTTAATTCTCTGCAAGGGAAGTTAGGGACGTGAAATCGTTTTAGTCTTCCTTAGAAGAATGTGTTGTCTAAAAGCCCTAGAGCTAAATAATGTCGAACTAACAACATATGATTCATTATTTATTTTTAAATAGGACTTTAATAGTAATTAAACAAATATTGTTATAATTATAATTATGAGAAACCATACTTCGTAAGGTGCACAGTTTTAGGAATTATTTCTTTTACATATTGTCTGCACAAACTTTACATGTTTAAGCTTAGCCATCATCATTTAATATACAATAACATGTTTAAAGGTAGATTTTTCTTACCACTGAATTTTAATTAAATGATTTCATTCCCATCATATTAAGGTTTAATGAATAATTAATTAACAATGTTGAATATACAATTTATTAGTAAAAGTACATTTATTTAAAAAAAACGTAAGTTAAAAAGTGACTCGTATGAGCAATTTCTGAATTCGTACTTTGTGCAAATTGATTTCTAGTTTTCGTGTTTTTAGGCAGTGTACGTTGCGATTGCGCGGGTGTTAACTGTTAATGTGCAGTTGGTTATTATGCAGGACCGAAGCCAAAAATCGTGTCAATGCATTGAACGCAGCTCTTTGGGTTGATAGCCTCTGCCGAATGAATCGGAGCCCCCTTCCCCGAATCCATCCCTCGTATTTGTCGATTCCATTGACGAACTGGGTCACCATGTGGCCGCTGAGCTGGCTGGCTGGTGGCATTTAGGCCTTATTGGGCAAGCCGGAGAGCGGGTGTTGGCAGCCAGCGAAACCGTTAATAGAAATGCATTAAAATCAAAGCGTTTTGGCGTTTGTTCCAATTCTGAGAGCATGCCGCACATTAGTCCCCAGTAATGGCCGCCTGCAAATCA